CTGTTGTTACTTCAACCATTCTCCAAAATTGATTCAACCAAGCTTTGATGCACTGTCACTGTGCAGACTGCACAGTGACTGTGCCAAAAATTATACATAGGACAACATGTGAAGTTTGGATGGAAGCTTGGCTGGAGCATGTTGCATGCCAACTGCATGCAGTTGATCAATTTTTTTTTGCAGTGCATCAGTTTTTGAAATCTTGGACAAAAAAAGTAAGAAGCAGCTAAGGAAGAAGAACAGATCAAGAAGAGAGAGAAGGTCAAATTAGAAGAAGCTAAGCAAGAAGAACAGAAGAAGAAAGCTAAAGTGGAAGAAGAGGCTCCACAGAAGACATTTTGACCCGTTCCAGCTGTCAGAACACCCAATGAATAACCCCCACCTCATGATCCAGACTATCTTCACCACCTCCCTGAAATCCTTCAACCTTACATCTCCAAAGTTCTAGATGTTGAATCTAATGGAAGCTGTGGCTTCTGAGTGGCTTCTTTATGCCTGAGACACAGACAACATGACCATCTTGCTGCATGGAACAAAATCTAACCAAGGAAAGCAATTATCAGTAATCTTTCCTCAGTCTCAAAGAGGATCAAGGGTGAGTCCAGTTCAATCACACAGCTGGGAATCTCATTGCCAGCAGCTTCAAAGCCCTGGTCTTCTTTTGGTTCACCTCATTTTCTCAATCCTTCTTCCCCCATTTCTGCTACCCAACAACAATTCCCCCATCTTTATAGCTTTTCTTGCCGCTTTTAGTCACTTTGTGGTTTTTGAACCCCATAATCCTCTTCTCTTTCCAGCCCACCAAGTCCTCAAGCAATGGCGGCAACCTGAAATGCCAGAGGCTCCTCTGGCTTGAGAGGAAAAGTTTACCAATTGTTTCCAGTTGACTATGAAGCTCAAAGTTAAAGCTGGGGCAGATAAAAACAAATACTACTGATTTCAATGTTTGTCATCTAGATTTTTCTACTTGATATTATTTTTCTGGTGTTGCTGGATAATATATGTGATATTTTTCAATCAAATTTTATGCTAAATTTCATGTCGGAAAATCATTTTTAATTTTCAAGCTTCACTTGGGGTTGCCAGTGCAGCTGTGAAAGTGGTTGAGTGGGAACGGTCAACAAGAAAACCCAACAACTCAACGATGAACTTCCTCCTCAAACACTGCCATCTAGTCATCCTCTTCCTCAGCCTCGCTCCAATCCACTCCGCCGAGACACTCAACAACAACCGACACCTCGAAGCAGTCGAAACACGACTGAGAGAGCTTCCGGATCCACTGACTATTATCCAGCCGCTCAAACCTTTCCAAGATCCCGCCGGCTTTCCGTTGGCCACCAACGATGAGAGAGAAGCCGAACGACCAACAAGGCCAAATGAGAGTAACAAATCAGATCATCCTCTGCCGAAGGGTCAACCAGACACAACCTATCGACATGATCGTGAGGAGAACTGGAAGCTGGTCATCAACCAGTCCCATGATGATCCGCCGCGTCATGTCCCCCGAAAATCAAGAAAATTGCCCCTCTTGGATCCCATCCAGAAACTCTCCAGCTGGCTCGTAATCCTCTTTACCGCCAAAAATCCTATCTGGATCATATCGTACAAGATCTTTCACGGCCTCTTCTCGGCCATCTTTCGTCTTTGTTATGCCACCATCGCCTTCCAGTTCAGCATCTTGACTCGACTCATGGTGTGGTTCTGGGACGAAATCTTATTGTCAGCAATCTCGCTTCCTCTCTCCAAGCTGATCATTTTCAATACTGATCGGCACATTCCTGTATTCGACACAGTCCGATGACGTTTCCGATTAGACTGGTCTTCTGGGCGATGGTCATCCAGCCTCTTAACCTGACCAAGACCCTGCTCAAAAAACTCAAACCTGTCATCTTCTTCCTGATGTCTGCGATCGGCATGGGCGTGTTGATCGGGAAGATTGGCAGTTTGACCCATCTCGTCGTCGGCGATTGGTTGTTCCCCTTGCATCACTCCACCAAGAAACCCGCCCAAAGAAAGAAATCACCATCAACTGTGGCTGTTCCCCAGCGCAGAAGTAGACTTAAACCCCGGGCGCATACTGTCGACGACGTACCGATAGGCCGACCACGCCTCAGGATGCGAACTAGCTCGCACGAAGACCACCCCCGGACCAACAGCAGTCTTAGGAAAGAAGAACGCAATCGGTTCAAAGAGGAAGAGGACACTGGGTCGAGCGCGTCGCCGGAGGAGGAGCAGGACGAAGAAGACTGGCCAGGGTCGAAGCATGTGGAGACAGAGATGTGGCCGGTTCTGGGGCCGAACCAGACGGGCTACACGTCGGCGGTAGAGAAGCATGACCGGTCGGCGTCGTCGGCTCGCCAGCGCCACCCACCCTCCGTCCTTTCCCATCTCACCCAACCCATCCCTTCGTCCTCCGATTCTGTCTCCATCCTCAAAACCTCAGTTCCCGCCGCTTCCCCAACCACTTCTTCTTCCTCTTCCTCTCCTCAATCCTCCCGCAAAAAGAAAGTCACTTTCAAAACTGACTGATCTTTTTGATTCCTTGTATATGTTCCACCTTCTCTCTCTCTCTCTCTCTCTCTGCATGTAAAACCCTTGCTGTATCCCCTGCCTGGCTCAAGTCCCTCATCGCCTCAGCCTCGACAAAAGAAAGACGACAATTTGATACATAAATATACCCATTATTACATACGTGTACTCATATGTACTTCAAGCTACCCATCCTGCTGTATTGTAGACACCCCTTTCATACCTCACATTACTTAAAAGGATAGAGTTATCTTATGTTTTTTTTTTCAAAAAGAAAAATGCTTTCGCTACACATACACAAATATTACGACGTGCAACGGTGATCTGCGCATGATTTCCTCCGACAAGCGGCTTGCACACACGCACACACACGCAGACATGGAGAGAAATTATCTGAAGCGCTATCTAGTGGTATATGTGGCCAAGACCCCCGAACGGCGTGGCTCAAGGCGGCGGCGAGGGCGCCCAGAACGGCGTGCATAATAACGAATCTCGTCTTGGGGTCACTCGGCGCTTTTTTTTTTGCGAAGGCACCCGCTGGCACTCGTCTTCCTCCCCCCGCTGGTTTGCCTTTTTATCTGCTCTGATATCCTGTTACCCTCCCGCTAATCGCCTTCCACCCCCTCCCCCCTTCCGTCGCATTTTCCTTGCTGAATCTCCGTCGCTTTCTACTCCATTGAGGGTGCCATTCGAATTGATTCGTGGTATGAAATTAGAGCCACGGTACTTGACGTCATCGGCCTTATGGTCTAGTCGTATGATTCTCCCTTTGGGTTCCTTCAACGGTTCACGAGTGGGAGAGGTCTCGGGTTCAATTCCCGATGAGGCCCAGTTACTTTTGCAGCCCGCACCGACGAGGTTTCCCACCCAACTTATGGATGCCTGGAAACATGGGCATGGGTTTTTCTTTTTTTTTTTTTTTTGGAAGGAGGTGTGGTCTTATTGGGCAGAAGAGATGGGCTTGAGAGAGGAATTGTTTTTGGTCAGTAAATCCACTCCTGTTGGAACCAATCTGCCACGGTCCTAGCTTTCAGCTTTCTTTGCCAGTGCAGCTGTTTCCACCCATCCTGAGAAATCATCCCTCACAATAAGTAGATACTTCCATTTCCCTGCTTTGATATGTACTGTTTCCATACTCACCCTCTTGAAGAGTGTAGTCTTGTAAGTGGCCTTCCCATCCTCTTTATTTAGATCACTGCCCCTCTTCTGGAAGCTTTCACAGACTTCACAATCTTCTTCATTCCCTCAGTACCATAATTTAATCTGTGCTTGCTTAGTGTTTTGAGTACGGTTTGGACAGCTTCTTCATGATTGGAGCCCTTCTTGTTGTAAGTCATGATGTTGTCTAGATAGGCCGCATGTCCTTGCATTTGCGCCCAAGGAAGATATCTTGCATGAATTACTGGAATTAAACGGGCACCCCATTTTGCCCAAATGGCATGGTAAATGGTGTGAATTGGCCCAAACAACAGATGAACACCAGTTTGTATTTGTCCCTTCAGCAACTTGTAAGTTGCCATACGCATTCCTCAGGTCTAGTTTTGTGCCGGTGTTGGTGTCTGTAAGGCTATCAACAAGATCCATGGTGAGAGGCAGCAGATATTTATTCTTGACAGTCACTGCATTGAGTTTTTGGTAGTCAAAGCAAGGCCATAAGTAAGTTCCCGTCCTTCTTTCCAGAAAAGATGACTGGGGTTGCCCATGGAGATGTGGTCCATTGAATGGTGCCATTGGCAAGTCCTTCATTGATCAGTGTGTCCAGAGATTCATTCTTTGCGGGGAGACAAAATGGTTGATTTGGCTAGCTTGTGTCACAGCTCCTGGAATCAGTTCAACTCAGAAGTTATATTGACAACAGGGGGAAGTCCTTTCACGGCAGATTTCTGCAAAATGGGGAGGTGCCGGTGATACGGGGCAGGGACAGGTTCCTCAGCCTATTTAGTGGGTGTCTGTGCAGCTGTCAACCTCAGAGGTAATATCACCATACCTAATATATTCCCCAAGAAGTTAAAATACCCTCACCATAATTATTTACATCTTTAATATTCTGAATATAATATAACTACCACATTAATTGTTATTTACCATGCCTTGATATTCAACCAGGTTATTCTTCTTAATTATGAATAGCCATTTTTAGTTTTGCCTAGTGTTTTCAGAACCTGAAATGTCTTATCAGGTTCTTCCAGGTTTTGTCTTAACCTGCCTACTCCTTCATATTATTTATCTCTATTTTCTAAGTTTTTTTTATTAAATTAACCCCAATAATATGTGTCAGAAGTATGTAGTTAAATATCTGGAAGCATTTATAAGTTATCTAGTATAATTATAGTAGCTCCCAATATCATTAATTCATATAATAGCCCCTGGAAGTGCATAGAACCAAGCCCTTGTAAAATTTCACACAATGGAACACGGCACTAATTAACCCAATAGAAATATAATTAATTCAATAACAGATCCTGTCATAACCCTGCTTTGATCCTTTGAAATATTAACTGATCCCTGGTAGTGCACTATGACATTATCTATTGATGTGCTCTGACTCATCCTAGAGCATCCCACACTGTCTGGAGAATATTAGGGGTCAATTTGGAGCCCAGGAAATGGCTCAAGAGTGATGAATTTCCAGATCTGATGGATCCCAAAATTCCTACTGAGAAATTAGGGAGGAAGGTTCATTTTAGTGCCTGGAACTAGGATGAGGGAAAGGAAGGAGAGCCCTTAGTCTCTAATGAAGGAAGTTAGATATCTGGACCTTTGCTCAACTAATCATATAGGTTGGATGAAGCCTTGTTTCTTTTTTCTTTTTTTCTTCTTCTTTTCTTCAAGAAAAATGATATGTAATTTTTGCACTTCATACTTGGTTAGCTGAGTGCATAGTCAGATCTGAAAATTTAGAAATATTCCACATGACAGTATAGTGGATACACAAGACAGGCTACAGTTTAAGATAGATTTTTCCTTCTTGTTTGCTGACTAACACACACAAGAAAGACAATTTAAGAGAGATTATTTCTTTTTTTTCTGACTAACACTGCTAAAAAGTTGCTAAATGGAAATCTGGTTCACCTAATTTTTTATCATAATTCTTCATTTGATGTTAGTAGTGAAATATGGGAGCTAAGTGTATGTATACGTTTGTCTAGTTTGAAAGGGAGTTGATATGGTGAATTGATGGTACAAGGAGTGTCGCTGTGCCATGGTTGCATCAAGGAATGAACTGGGGGATCTAGGGAGACATGTTGATGTGCAAAAATAATTATATTTGGGGAGAGGCGGCCACTGTATGAGAACAAGAGGAGGAGGTTTGTCTGAGAATATGCAGGGCCAGGCATGAATGAGGGAGAGAGTCCGTTGGTCCCTCCCAATCATCCATCCAGTGGATAATGCCATCTTCAAGCAGAATACACACATCACCAAGCCACATAAGAAAGGACACACATCCTGCACTACCAAAGTGCCCAATCCCATCCATATATTGTATAGTGACTGATCAGAAAGATCTGACACCTATCTTTTTGTAAAAAAAAAAGGTGTCAGAATTTGCTCAAAAGCACTCATTTTTTTTTGTCACTAGGTTTTAAAGGTTTGAGAAGAAATAAGATAGAGTTTTCATCATGACAAATTGAGCTACATAAAAATTAAAAAAAAATTAAAATGTTTTGTTGCAGTTTTTTACAAAATCTTTGATAATTTTTTTTTGAAAAAATATGGAAAGATGAGGATGGGGTGCGCAGAGACTGGAGGAGAATGATTAGAAAAAAAGAAAAAAAAAAATGTTGGAGTTTTTTTTTTTTATTTTTTTATTTTTACCAGAAGAGTGATTGTAGAACTACTACCAAGTTACCTTTAGTGTCAATTACAGCCTTCATTCTGGCAGGCCTAGATTTGATAAGGTGGTCTAGATATTTGATAGGAAAGTTGTCCCAAGCCTGTTTTATTGCTCCTTGCATTTCAGGCACATTCTTGGGCTGGTAGAGGTCTTGAATGGTGCTCCTGAGGATCGAACAGACATTCTCAATTGGATTCAAATCTGGAGATTGGGCTGGCCACAGGAACTTGTTGATATTTTTAGTTTTGATGAAATCATGGCTGATGAGAGTTCTTTTGTAAATTCTCTTTATGAAATCAAGCACCCTTTGCTTTCCAGGAGGAAAAATCACCAGGGTGCCTCTTTTGTTGCTGCCATACCATTGTTGAGGTTTGTCCGCTTGGGGGCCAAATTCTTTTTTCTTTACAGGGAGGGTTTTTTGGTGGCTACACAACTGTTGTAACCAATCTGATGAGCCCGTCTTCAAGCCTTCACCTTTGAGATTTGCGCCTGACATTTTCATACAAGGGTTCTCCTCAAGGATTGTTTTGATCTGACAGAGATCTTGATTGCTAGTTATCCGGGGCTGTCCAGGCTTTGGAGCTGATTGAACCGGTTCGAAAATTGAGTTACAATTCCCAAGACAGTTGATCCGGCCATTCCAAGCTTGGTCATCCCAGCTTCAGCAAGTCCAACAATACGGCCTTTCAATTGTGTCAAAGCATGTTTTTATTTCGTGTTTTGGGGATCTGAAAAGAACAGAAGATTGGTTCAAGCATGAAAAAACAGAGAATCAACAAAATATAGACTCACCTCCTTCCAATTCCCAGAGTCGTTGTTTTCCCAAAGTTGTTCAAGCTAGTTCACTAACTCAATCCATCAGTATAGCCCGGCTCTCAGGGCACATGCATAATTATTCAATCACTTAAATTACTCCGCAGCGGATCTTTCTGATACATACACATTTAGGGATAATCACATGACAAAGAAGAAGAAGAAAACCCACATCACATTTTTTTTTTTTACTTGACTACATGCATTCCCACAATCAGTCACCTTTTTATCTTGTGGTAGACCTTTTGGTATCAAAATTTCAAGTCTTGATATATTTAGCATCTACATACAAGAACAGGCTTGTATAGACCACCTTCTTTTATGTTAATAATTTCTATATATCTACATCATACAAGTGGTGAGGCACACAGGGGAAGGATCTTGATGAAATGCAGGACAGGTGATATATGAAATAGGGTGGATAGGCATGAGGTAGAATATATGGTGGATGGAGCCGCCAGAAGATTATTCCACTGCACAGCCTTAGCCAGATTGTAGTGGAGGGGATGGATGGATGGATGGGGAGACCAGGTGAGATCTGCACACAAGATGATGGTGTGCTTGCCCAGCAGATTATTTCTCCCACCAGCAACAATCCCTCACTTGCTTTCTCACACAAGCAAAAAAAAAAGTCACAATTGTCAATAGAGGCTCAGCGGGACTCATGCATTCCATCATATCAATCATCCCCCCCCCCCTCCTAGACCAAACACCCAGTCCAAGTCATTCAACATTATTTAGTTCAGCACCTTATTACAGGAATCTATATGTAAAATTTAATTGACAATACAACAACAGACACAAGCAATACTTCCAGAGATGAGTGTGAAAGTGAGTAGAATCATGGGAGTGTTGTATCTGATACTAAAGAAAAGGGTGTAGGAAGTGAGGCGACGAAGCCGATGGTGGCCGCGACCCGGACGGACAAATCACCTCTCCTGGCCTTCTTGTGCCCTCTCCTTATTACACTCGACAATCTGTCCTTGCTGCTCGCCTCAGAGCAACTGATCCCTCCCTGGGCACCAAATTCCCGCCGTACGTACTGTCGCCCCATGCCTTCAGACATATTATATACCGAAGACACATGTGCAGAAAATCACAAAATCACAACCATTAATATTTCTCTTCTTCTTGGTTTTTTTTTTTTTTTTAAAAAAAAAAAAAAAAA